CCGCACTTCAAGGTCCTCCAAACGGTTGCGCGATTTAAAGCTTTGTGCGCCCACTATTTGCGTTTATTGATGTGATGTAGCGTGACCTCGGTATGTAGTCGCTATTCTCCAGTATGCCCATTAATCAAATTGATAGTCGTCCACTTCTGTCTCATTCTGTTCTCATACAGCATTTGACTGCGGGCAAGGACAAAGACTATGCCTTTGCGAATCGCATCCACAGTACAAGCGCATCATTTTGTTAGGGTCATAAGTTCGCAAGTTCTGAAACTAAAATTTCGGTCCGATGCCAATAGACATGTTGGCTATTATTACAACTAAGCGGCATGATTTAGGTGTCGCCGCGAACCATCTCCTTAAGCAATGCCAAAGTATCTCCCGACGTGAGTTCACATGTCTAATGATCTCTACTTTTTTAAAGACTTGCCACATTTTTTGCATAGTTGTGTATTTTTTAACAATAACAAACATAGATTATGTAAACTTACAGGCAGGGTAATGGATCGCACGTTTATCGCGTGCACGAGGTTTGTTAGTTCGCATACACATCAGTTGAACTATTGAGCAGCTTGGAAATTTCCCCAAAACTGGGTCTGTTAATGGGATTGATCTCCCAACACATCTCCAATGTGTTACAAATCATCCCATCAAGGTTTTTCGGATTACATGGTCTGGAGACAAGGTCTGGATACATTGGGGTGGCCAACCTGTCCCAGTCTAGCGGGAAAAAGCAACAGAATTAAAGTTAGTTTGTGTAACTGACCTCTTTATTTTATTTTCTCTATTTAACCGTTTATTTTCTCTGAGCCACGGACAGCTCTATCATTCTTGGTGCATGCTGCTGAAGTTGATATTTTCTTCTATCAAGTCGTTTCAACGATGCAGTTAACTCTAACGTGTATTGAAACTTCATATCACAAAGAGGAGAGGAAGTTATTGTTTGTGGAAACTGACTTACTACAGTAGGGTTCTTCACCACGCGTCAAAACAACATAGCCGAGAATTCCAAATGCCCAAACATCCGATTTAAAGGTAAAGTTGGTTGGATGAGCTTTTAGTTCTGGCGCCGACCAACAATCGAACGCAAACATCTCTATAGGGACAAAAGTGGGCATTTATTTTAACCGGCTAACAACCACTCCGACGAGTTCACGCATCTATTGGCAAAAACAAGGCACATCCAAACAATGGGTAAGCAACCACCTATTGCCACTTAAAGTGGGAGATTACAGAAACAGCTAAGTGGTCTGCTCAAGGCTAATCTGCTAGAGAGCAGAATATTCGCATAAAATCAAGAAGCCTTCCAAAATATGCATACCTCGTACATTCGAATAAGATCTAAATTGTTTTTGAACAAATTGCATCAGCCACCAAAAACTTGGCAAGCACTAGATGCATCAGTATGGCAAAACCCTCATCAACCAAGCAAAAGGTGCACACCTGGAGGAGCTCCCTTGATTTTGGCCAGGAGACCTCGAATGCCCACATCAGCGAGTTTGACGTTGCCATCACAGTCAAGTAAGACGTTGGTATCCTTCAAGTTCGTGTGCACAATCTCATTTCTCTCCAAATATTCCATTCCATTTGCAATCTACACGATGCAAAGGGAACCAGATAAGTGGTGCCAATCCCACATCCAATGAATTAATGGTTTCAATACAGCATTTCATTCCATACCGCATCACACCTAGTAGTTCTGCATACATTTTACGGAGATACTGAAATGGAAGAGTATAGGGCGTGGTTTCACCAGAGAGCAAGTGCTCCTTCTTTAAGTAGTCGATCGTAAGGCACTTTTGGTTGCCAATTGACGCAAATGGCTAAAGAGCACTTTAACATGTGTAAACACCAACTTCTTGAACTCCATAAGCAAGTCTTTAAATGCTTCTGACACAGAATGTCTTAATTCAAATATTTGGATTCATTATACATTCATTTTAACGCATCGCCTCTGGAACTGCAAAATTGAAATCTTCGTATCTTAGCGCTTCTCCAATTTAGTACACCATGGAGCCCTTTGGCTGTAAGACAATGGCTGACGCCAATTAATGCGGACAACGTGTACCAACGTGTCGCCCTTCAGTGAATCTCACAGAAGACGGATTGCTAATAACCAATCTGTTCTTGTCCTCCTTCTCTCAATACAGCTCATATAGATTAGTCTCCGAGAGCATGAAGGGTGAAAGAGCCATTGCAGTTGCCCAGACGCCAACCTACTTTTGGAGTGCGTGGACCAATTAAAGCCTTTCAGGCGTTTAATGTTACACAATTTCTCACGGTTCTAATACCAGCTAATTCACCGTCTCGAGCACCGAAGTGTGGAATCCTACATGATGTGCGATACGATAACTGCTATCTATTGCTACATGTAGCACTGCCATAACAACAGCAGTGCTTTTGCGTTTACAATTAAACTACCTTTCCTAACAAGGAACCAAACAGATCACCAAAAATTTGGGAATATACACAAATATGCATAGAGGAAACGCAAAGCATTTACCATTCGCACAATATCCAATAAACTACTGAACGGCATCGTCTTGGCCTCGGGCGTTGTAAGAAAGTGCTTGAGGGAGCCATGGTCCATCATTTGCATGACTACAATTAATTGTGAACCCATCTCGCGTATGTGATCGGTAAAAACATCAAAAACTTTAACGCAGAAGTCGAGAGATTTCAAATATTGCAGATCCTTGCAGAGCATCGAAGTGTTTGTTGATAAGTTGAAGCACTTAACTGCAACATCGTGTGTATGATAGGAGCCACGGTATACTTTGGAGAAATCACCGGTTTTAAGAACTTTCGTGATAAAAATCTTTAATCCTTTCACTAGAACTTCGGGACCACTTTCAGGAGTCGAATACATTCCATTTGAGGATGAATGGTATGGTTTGAGACGGGTGCATTTCAGACAACCAGGATTTTCTGGAATTAGCATAAAATAACATTTCAGCGCATGTCTCACTAAAAATGACGAAAAGTATTTTTACGTCTAGGTTCTTTTATAATCTTCTAAGGTAAAATAGATCAAAGTCTGACATTTGATGCTTAGGCATACATGGGTTCTAAAAACAAAACTACCCATGGTGCAGCGATTGAGCATTCGTAGTATCTACTATTTAGTAATACAGAGAAAAAATAGCGTTTACTAAAAAGCAGCAAATAAAAGTTGCTTTATATTTTAAAACAAAATACTGCGCACTATGAACAAAGAAGTACAACAAAATATTATAAGCAAGGTGGCAATCATGGGAGGTATTCTAGGCTAACTCACCCATGTAGTATGTGATGAGATCGAATAGACGCTCAAACGGAGGCGACGGCTTCAAATGGTACTGCTTGTCCTTATTCAACTCAATCTTGTAATGCTCCACTAGAGACTGATTTGACTGACGCACACTTAAGCCAATACTCTTATTATCTAACCAGAAACAGGAAAAAGAGTCGAAAGTTACAGGCACATTGACGTGTATTCCAATATTCTCTTATAAAAAGCCAAATTCTGATCGCAACATCACCCGGACTTATAAGTAATCCTTTCGATAGAGAAGATCATTGAAAACAGAGCAAAAGGCTCATTTCATTGCGTATAATGAGCAAACCTTGCCTTCCGACGATTCCGTCATCCACCCAAGCTAACATGCTCAGCTATTTTAAGCCTTCCTTTGCAAGCTCGGGTGTGAGTGAAGCACCGCCTCACTGTTCAGCCTTAGTAGCTCTCGATATGCCACTTGTTTCTCATTGCATACTGTGTTGTGTTGTGCAAGACTATGAGGCGAGGCTTTGTTCGGTGGCGCAAAATAGACCAATCTGCTTAACTTCTCCTTACTTCACCTCCACACTCACACAACTTGCACTACAGACAGGTAGAGTAAGCAACTGTTTCGCAGTAAGCACAAGTCTTGCTATCCTCAAAACACAGTAGTGTAGTCAGGGTGAGGGACAGGCAGTAAGCCGACTTACCAGATGAGGGACGGAGAATAAACGTGCCATGTTCTACTCCGTACATACTGAGCAATCTGTCGGCTCCGTCACGATCAATAGATTCCCAAGCATCGAAAACGATTGACTTGCCATGAATATCGGTCACGACATCTCTGGGCAAGATAAAGCTTTCACCAGTCAGGGGATTTTTGGCTTGAATACGACAATTAGTTTCGCCTTTTAAGATAAGTATATCTCCGCATCTAACTGAAAAGCATGGCTGCATGTAGTCACGAGTGACACATACATACTGTTGCCGTCTTTGTTCTTTATCAGGAGGTAAACTATATCAAAAATCGGATGACGGTAATAACTGTTACCAGTGGCCCTTAGCATGGGATTTCCTCCACTTTTGACGGCGGTTTTTAGACTGAAAACGATGACGAAATTGAAACCAACGCTAAAAAGAAAGGTTAGTAGGATATAACGCATAGATGAGCTTGATATTACATAGCAATGCGCATTTGTGTGGTTAGTAGGTTAAAAATCAAAGAGAATAAATAAATTAGACTCTCCAAAAGACCCATTGGGAAATACAATGAACAACCACGTATATTTATGAAAAAAATGACAATACCAAATGCGATTCTAAAAATTTGACGGAGTCCGAAGTTACACCTCACCATATCAATAATCGCAAATAGTGGGCGCACAAAGCTTTAAATCGCGCAACCGTTTGGAGGACCTTGAAGTGCGG